TCGTCCTTTATTGCCCCAACTTCTCTTCAGATTGGCTATTAAAGAGACTGATGGTTGGATAGAGACACAGGAGACAAAGTTTGAAATAAACAAGCTCTGGTCAGTAGGCATACAAAGACTTGCAGAGGTTGTCTTGCTCACACACATGTACACACACACATAAGGCAGTCCTCCAAGGTGATACTGACAGGCTGTTTAGCATGCAGCAGAATGTTCTCCACCTGCCGTCATCTGATGGGTCTGGTCCATAAATTCAATTCCATTTTCCACACTTTTCAAGGCTCTCTAACCACAAATAATTACACACCCACACACACATGTACGTCCGCATACACACACACATAGACAGAGGCTCAGACAAGAAGAGACAGAAGGTAGAAGGAAAAAAGTAGCGAGGGATCAGGAAGCAGAAACAGAAAATTAGTCACTTGTCAGGTGGTGCATGGGCGTTCTGCTCTCCTGAGTCTTGTCTGATGGAAAAAGGATCTGGACTTCAGGAATGAAGCAGTGCTTTCAGCTGTTCTACACCTCCTCACACACATAGAGAGCCAAGTAGAACGTGATTATTCAGAAAACCTCTACCTCAGTGGCCTGATGGTCCGGTGTTGTGCAGAATTCTTCATGCCTGCCGAGAACTGCATGCACCTTGCGGGTGATAACGGTCATTTATGCTGAGAAAAGAGGTGGAAATTATGCATCCACCTCTTCAGGTCCTTTTCAGACAATTTGCTCTGCTCATTGATCAAATGCCAAATATATTTATTAAATGTTAAGCAATGGTACTTCTAAGTGTATTAAAATATTAAATACTCTGAACGTTCATAAAATATATACTTCGAATCATTTATCACCATTGATGAACCCCACAAAGAATATTATAGCTTTTAAAAGCAGCATTTGGAGGTGAATGCAATTCTCGGCAGGCAGGCTATTTGGCAAAAAATATTTGGCAAACTATGTGGGTAATCAACATTGTAAGCAAATGACAATGAAAATATGAAATATCATAGAAATGTCAAAATACACTGGAGGGGGGCTTTAAATAACTACTAACTGCGGCTAACTATCTAATCTAATAAGCTAAGTCAGCTGTACAATTAGTGGTCATAGCTGACTCAACTGGGCACCGAGCCATCTCAGCTCTTGAATGAAACAATGAAGATACCTGAAGTGCTTGGAATACTTTCAGGTATCTTCAATCAAGTCCAGTTGCCCTTTATTTAACCCTCCTTGATTAAAACACCAAGATTTCTTACTTGGGCCTTCGCCTTTATAGTTCTGGAATCAAACAAAGCAACAGCTTTCAGTCTTTTCTCCTTGCTGTCAAACACAGTTATTTCTCTCTTGTCTTTAATACATTGAATCTAAGTAAATCAGGGTCATCTGTATAGCTAGGATAAGAAATATTATTATCTTGCATGATTTAGCCTACAGGAAGCATATGCAGGTTGAAAAGTAGAGGCCCGGAACACACCCTGGGGTAAGACAGGACCATAAGTCATAATTAGCTTTAAAAAGCTATTTTATACTGTATTTCTACCTGCACACTGCCAATGTTGAACAGCAAAGACAAGAACAGGATGGAAGGAGCGAGGACACAATGACAGACATGGTTACACAGAGAGGTGATATGGGAATACTTGATACTCAGCAGACATAAGGGGGGAGAAATAATGAGAAGAGAAAAAGAAGGCGGGGAGGAAGGACAGAGCGAGGGATATGAGAATCCGCTTTAAATTTCCCAGGTGGCCGAGGGCGAGGAGATCTATTTTTTACTGCTGAGAGGACCGCCAGACCTCGATACTGTCTGCCAGCACCCTTAATACTAACTCAATATTATCTCATTACTGACTCCTATTTAACTCAGTGTTAACTAATTTTACCTGTCCATTCATACCCTGTTGGTTTGTACAGACAGTCAGAGGCAAAAGTGAAGTTGACCTACTGGAACAAAGAAACCAGACTTAACGTCTACAGCCAGGCTAGCAGGTATGTGAGGCTGTATTTAGGCACGATGGTGCTTTGAGTGAAATGCTAATGTTCCCATATTAACCATTTTAATTTAGCATGTTCACATGCTAACATATGCTAATTAGCAGTAGGGCTGCAACTAATGACTTTTGATAGTGGAATAATCTTTCAGTTATTGAATCGAAGAAACAACTATTGGGATTATGAATCGCAAAATTACTATACTATAATGGGAGACTAATGTGTGATTGTGACACTGAATCTGTGTAAACGTAACAGTCCAAATATCTGTGTTATCCAGACTTGTGGGACGTGTCTCTGTGGGATGATATGATTGACCCTAAAGCTGGATAAATAATAGGCTCACGGAGCTCTCCTCACTCATTCGAGCATACATGTATACATGTATGTGTGTTGCTGTGAGTCCTTCTGCAGAAGACTTGAATAAAATTCACAGAAAGACCAGTGTTTGCCTGAGCTGTATATTTGAAAACTGGAATTGCCATCACATAGCCAGGGGCGCCGAATAGGGGGGAAAAATTAGGACAATTCCAAGGGCCCTTGACTGACAGGGGCCCCAAAAAACAGGTAAAAACTAATATCAAATTATATTTATATAAACCATCATCATTGAGTATTTTAAATACAATAATACAATTAATGATCTCTTTGTTTTTGGCAATAGAAGTTAAATATCCCCATTGACCAAAAAGTAAACATCTATATTGACCAACCACCCCCCTGTATCTGCATGAAATCCTGCCTTAGCGCACTGATCAGTGACGGTGTTTAATTGCAGTCAGTAGATGCGCCAGAAATACAGTGATCACAATATTGCATAGTAAACCAAAATCTGGTTTTCAAAAAAGGAAAGAGAAAAAAGAGAGAGAGGAAAGACAAAGGAAAGGATGTCACTCTGTAACCCAGTTTTTCACCACGAAAGGTGGGTATACATTCTCCATCTTCTCAGGTAGGCCAACGATTTACATATTTTGCCGCTTGGAGCAAGCCTCAAAGTGGATTACTTTCAGGAGAAGCGCTTTGTTCTCCAACGTAATTTTCGTGCATGCCTGTTCAATGAGCGAAAGGCGGCGGTCATAGTCGGAGCTAGCATTCTGAACCTCTTTTATATGGTTCCCCAGACTCACTAAAGATGCCTTGGTAGATGCGAGAGATGCCTCCAAATCATTAAATTGGTCAGTCTTCGTCTTACTTAAACACCATACAGCAGAGAGGATATTCGTCTCTGTCCCTGTGTCAGGCTTGTTGACACTACCCAACACCGACACTGGGCCACAGAGCCAGGTCAGCTAGCTCCGGTAGCGCTTAGTCATCTGCATGGGTTTTATCCTGCTTCTTCCCCTTTTCGGCTTTCGGTTTTGTCATCTTGAGGTTATCAGGCAAAGTGAACCATGAAAGAAAACTGGAGAATCAAGTAAAATATAATATGAAAGACCGAGTTATTTCAAGTATGGAGAGGAGATCCCGAAAAACACGTCTACTCCATGAATTGAATTGAAATATCTTTAATGTCCCCGAGGGGCAATTTAGTTCACAACATGTAGCCAACATATACACAGTCGTACACATAAGAACACATAAGAACATAAAAACATAAGATAATAAATAGATAAAAACAACAAATACACATATCCCTATAGTTTGTTGAGAAACCCAACAGCTAATGGTACAAATGATCTCAGATATCTGTTGGACCTGGCATGTTTTCGGTAAGTATACCTCCTTCCTGATGGTAGTAGGCAAAACTCAGAGTGTAGTGGGTGAGTGATGTTAGCCAAGATGGCCATTGCCCTTTGTGTGGCTCTGGCCTCAAACATATGCTCAATACTGTTGAGATCGGTGCCAATTATTTTTCGACATATGCTTACAGTTTTTCCCAATCTGTTTTTGTTAATTACACTCAAATTGCCAAACCAGCAGATCATAGCATAAGTTAAGATTGACTCAACAAAGGATGCATAAAAGACTTTCAGAAGTGATCTATCTACGTTAAACATATTCAAATTTCTTTAAAAAAAAAGAGTCTCTGATTGGCTTTTTTACATATATAATCTGTATTGGTGTTGGGCTATCACTTTCCCTCAAAAGTACCTGTTTGCGAGTACAGAAAGTATGAAATTGTGTAGTGTTCTCTAAACGTGTGCACTCGGCAGCAACACATTCTGCAGCTGTAAACATCTCTGCATCGTTTATTTTATTGTAAAGTCAGGGCAAATCTGGAATGTGAACAGGATCGTTGTGTATAATAATAATTTTCTACTCTCAACATTAAAAATATATTGAGCAAGAGAAAATGTATTGAAAATATCACAGCACATAAAGGATCCACAAAGTTATTAAAATTCGCCTTGAACGTGGAAAATAAATCTGTAATGTAAATGCTCTGTATTAAGCGCTTTTACACTATATCTGCATTCACCAGTCATACACATTCTAAATGCTCAAACGGAAACTAACATTCACACACATTCATACACTGGCGGAACAGCCACCAGAGGCAATTTGGGGTTCAGTATCTTGCCCAAGGACACTTCGACACTTGCAACTTGCACTGCAACCAGGGGGTGCCAGGTTCCAGGGATTGAACCGCTGACCTTCCGATTAACGTACTGAAGAACTAACTGGTTTGGTCATTTACAATAATTTCAGAAATGATCAGTCCAATCACTCTCCAAATCCACCTTGTCTGTCATTGTAAAAAGTACAAATTAACTACTCTAATACTAATACTAATATTTACAGTTCGAAAAATAATAAAATGAAATACCAGTCCGTATTATTAATTAAATTATTTTCTCAGTAGTTTTATACCTACTTTTGTGTGCTTTTTCATCTTTCATCATCTAACACTAACACTACTAGGCATGCCCTGATAAAAAGATGCTGTAGTATATTTATGGCTTAGTATTAAATGCACTTTTTTCCACTTTAGAACACATTTTTAACATTATTGAAAGATTATAAATTCAGTTTGTGTGTGTATGTATGTGTGTGTGTTTGTCACTGACCTAGTAAGCAGGTGAGGGGAGAAGGAGGCAGGGTTGTCCTGTTCAGAGAAGAGAGGCATGGATCCTCCCATCAGCCACAGTCTGACTGACATGATGATCACCACCTGGAGAAAAGGGGAAATACACAGTGCAGTCAGTGCAGTTACAATTCACCAACAATTTCTTGTTATGGCAGCCAAATTACCTCCAATAGACCATTTACAATACACACTTAAAAATGGAAGCCAATACTGAAATCTAATATAGGATGAGAACAGGGCAGGGCAGCAGGACGACACTCAAATGTAGTAATTAGCAATGCATGCAGGACCACCACTATGATACTTTTCAACATAAAATAAAATACTCACATATCCAGAGATGAGACAGGCTCGTTTGATGAATGGGCTGCAGATATGGAAGAGGTCCCTGCGTCTGGAGCCAGACAGGTGACTGAAGGACAGTTAGACATACAGAAGGTCAGTCTGACTTTTATCTGCAGGCTTAAGTCAGCAGTGAGCACTTTCAAAAATAATTGTATTTAACTTTTATTTTAACCATGGTTAAAATAAAAGTTAAATACAATTATTTTTGCTGTTTAAATTAAGGTTACATTAAAAAAAATAAAAAAATAAAGTCAGCAGTGCAATACAATCAAAATTTAAACCTTCATGTTCTCACAGGCGATATGACAGAATTGAGACCAATGAAAAAAAATTCAAAGTATGAGGAGGATTTTGTTGTCAGAATTTGTTGATATTTTTGCAACAGTGTTTTTTGGTGCTCTTAAAATAGTCAGCTCCTTCACTGTGAACAGAGTAAAAATGACAACCTTTTTTTATTCCAGTATATATCAGGGCCCTTACAGCGTGTTCCATGTTCTTACATTCAGGACTAGTTCAGATTTTAAGGAATTTTAAAATAATTTTAAGTACATGGTAAATCCCTTAGAGCTTATGTTTCCGAAAACCACCTGTAACTTCATGTAAACAGGAACAGCAATTTAATAAAAACGTAAAATGTGACATGTTATTTACTTAAGACTAACCACCTTTTTTTTTAGAAAAAGCTGAAATAATGTTGACATGAGCTGTTACTTGATCTCCTTAGATGGCCAGTAAATGAGCTTAAATCCAATAAAGATTTAATAAACAACAAGCAGCACTAATAAAATAATAAAGCATCAACAATCACTTGAAAATCGATATTGCAGTATAGAATAATATGCAGTGAGGGGGAAGAGAGTTCTAACGTTTGGATGCAGCGTAGGAGAAGGCACCCATTCTGCTGAGGGTGATGGCTAGTGGCAGCAGACCTGCTGTGGAAGAGCGAGGTGGAGTCGAAGTCTGAAGGAGGTCTGTGTGGTAAGCAAGGGATGGATTGTGGAGGGCTCTGAATATTAATAATACGATTTTAAAGTGACTCCACTGGGAGATACAGGGAGCTAGTGCAATTGAATCAGCTGGGGAGTTGAAGTCGATAAGTTTATTGGGGATGCCTGACAGGATTGCATTACAGTAGTCAATGCATGATGTGAGAAAAGCACTGACTGTGACTTCTATAAAGTGTTAGGTTAAAGCAGGGCGTGGTCTGGAGATGTTTCGCAGATGGAAAAAGGCAGACGGGGATACTATGTTTATTTGTCTGAAGAAAGAGAGGGTACTGTCCAGGTTGATATGGCAACCGGCAGTGCTTGTAGAAGCAGCAGCCTGTAGCTCCTTTAATCTTCGCTACACTTTTGTTTTTTATCTGTTTTTTTCCGGTTTTATTGCCAAAAAATGTGTTACCTCAGGGTTTTTGGATTAAAGAGCAGCAGACCACGATCCACCTGGCCCAAACAACCAGACCAGGCGCCACGGCAGGTGTGGTGTGATCGCTCAGAGGAGAGGAAAGAGAGCCAGGAGAGGGGCCATGCTGGCCTAACTTGGATTTGATTCTGCTCCTAAAGAGCTGGTTTGGACTAAATGGGACTCGTGTTAACCAAACAACAGAATTCAGAGACTGTTGTGCCCACATTGTTGTAGAGATCTGCCCCATCAACATCCCGGATCAAGCACTCTGCAGGTGGTTCATGTTCCGAGCTGTCAGCGCAAGACTCTGGCAAGATGAGAGGAAGTGGAGTCTGTCTTTTACATCGATGATGCTTGGTGCTCAACCGCAGTCAAGTTGGACTGTTTCCCAAGTGTCAGACTCTTTATTCATAGTTTTCACGTGACGTCACACTCCAATGAAAATGCTCCCTTGGAGGGTAAAAAGACGTTAATTTCCGTTGCCTGCCAACCAATAGGCCTATGCAAGTTTTAAACTGTTACTTTGAGTTTGTTACTTTTACGTTGCCAGAATGCTGGATGATTGTTGTGCTTTCGGATTTACTAATCAAGGAGACAAGCCTGGGCTGTGTTAGGTGAGGGATTCCCCAGAAGTAAAAGCAAAAACATTGCTGCAGTCCGAGCAGCGGCAGGGAGCTGGCAGTTTTTAACGGTAGAAATGCGGCAGCGGATGCTGTAACATTATACGGATCAGATATGCCTGATTCTGTTTATAAATAATAAACAGAAGTGGCTCTAACACTGAACCTTGTGGTACTCTGTGGTGAACTCTGGATGTTTCTGACCAGTAATTTTGAATTTGAACAAAATCTGAAGTCTGATCTGCAAGGAAGGAGACAAACCATTGATACACGGTGCTAGGCCTGTCACAATAACTAGTCCATCAGACATGGTCGCAGCGGGCCCCAGAAGCGGCTCTGCACTCCACGGAGAATACGCAGCAAGTCTACTTTTGACTACACGCACCACGGAGCAGATCGAGAGTCTGGTCAATTTTCAAAATAAAACACCCCATGCTACTTCCAGAGTTTCAACAACTCTGCCTATGACTGCTATTCCTGTAAAAACCTTCATGCAGACTTTGTGCGGACTGATTCCAGCTCCCAGTGAGTGAACACGGCAGCCAGACCCAGGACCAAGCACAATTTCCGAGACCGACGGAGTCTGACCACTGGGAATACAGTACGAAGGGCGTTTTCTTGCCGGTTTGGCTTTTGTGACCCCAGGGCTGAGTCAATTAACGTAATGAGGCTGTGTTTGGTTCTGTTCATGTCGTGTTTACTTGGAGGCTGCTGAGCGCCCTCCTGGTGTCCCTCTGCCCCTGGCCTGAAAACCTCCAGTGCTTAAGTATAGGTGTAAACCTAAACACACACTCCGGTGCTCTGAGTTCACAAACGGGCAGAGTAAGCTCATTTGAGCTAATTAGGTAATGGCAGCTAGTTAGCAGCAGTTAGCTGACTTGCTACATCAACAAGTAACGCAATCTATCAGGGAACTCCACAGAGCAGAGCAGCCAGGAAACATCAGAGAGAAAAGTTGCCGTTTGAAGTATTGAGAGGCAGAGTACACATTGTCAATTTTGGTATTTTCATGGTATTTGTTGACAATAAGAAAATATTGAATAACACCACCAGCCTATATTTTTAAAAAATACCTGGCTGCACAAACCCAAAACACAATTTCTCTTACTGGTAACAAAATGTGTTACGTCCTCAAGTCTGTCCTCTCCATCAAAACTCTGTTGACGAATCGGGCCCCAGGCTATTTCAAATCCTACCTTTCAGATTCATTACCTTTTTCATTTGTTTTGTGACCTCTCAGTAGCTTTGTCATTTATAAAAGTCCATAATTTATAACATGTGTGCGTCTGCTTTTCTGCAATTTTTAGAACAAAGTCTACCAGGTTACCACCCATTCACCCATATTTTTATCGATCCAAAGATCCAGCCATGGTCATTTATTAACTCTCCCTCCAGACCACATGGTCCTATCCATGAGCCTGAGGTTGAAACTAAAGATGAAGCTCTCACTGTAGAAAAAGGCAGCAAGAGAATAAAATGAGGGGGATCAGTCAGATAGGTAGTGAAAGGAAAGCATGGAGAATCCATTCAATACCCCATCACTTTGAGATGTTCCCCTTGTGCAGAGCTTTCAAAGCATTGCAGAGACGGTGAAGAGAAGAGCTCTCACAGGAATTCTACAGACATTCTGTCTGTCTCACAGCCTGTCTCATTTGTTTCATCGCTGCCTCTCTCCCCAGCTCTCTACTCCCTTTTTCACCTTTTCTATATTTGTCTTTGATGATGTCTTTGCTCTTTCTGTTCTGCTGAGGTTTGCGGCACCAAGAGACAGAATGACAAAGAGGAGTCAGACTCTGCATTCGCCTGAGTTACCATGAAAGAGTTTGGTCCAAAAAAAGGAGGCTGTTTTCCCTGCCGATTACCACTTAAGTTGTTTCAAAGGAAGCACTGTGCACTTAATATTTTTAATGGGCTTAAAACTCACACAAAAATGCTCTCAATACAAATATCTAAAGGCAAAAATTGTTAAATGGTCTGTATTTGTAGAGTGCCTTTCTAGTCTTTCCGACCCCTCATAGTGCTTTACACCACATCACATTACCCTTTCACACATTCATACACTGACAACAGAGGATAAGTTGCGAACTGCAAATCAGAATGGAAATATCATTTATGCACATTCACACACCAATAGCACAAACACCGGGAGTATTTTGGGGTTCAGTGTCTTGCCCAAGGACACTTCGACTGGGGGAGCAGGGGATCGAACCACCTTCCGCTTAGTGGACGGCTGCTCTACCCCCCTGAGCTACAGCGGCCCCAGTGACATGCACTCATAAAGAGATTCCAGGTAAAAGCACTAATCCCTTCATGATTTGGGTTTTTATCCTATACCAGTCATAAGGAAGGAGATATACTAACATTAATAAGTAAAATAACTCAATAGGGAAAAGTCCCTACTATAATGTATTTTTGTTTTTATTTTTCATGACAATTCTATATGTGATCAAAGCTGTAGGAGGCTGAGGTAGAGTTATATCAGCTGACTTATGCTAAACACACATCACAACAAAAATACATCAAATTCCTTGTATGCTGTTTGAGCTTGGAGATAGACATAGTTAGACATCAAATGCCTGAGGGGCTAAATAATCCTCCCTATTAGAAGCACAAGCAGAAATATTTTATTGATCTCCGAGGGGAAATTCCTTTGTCACAATTGCTCAGCTTGCCTGTCAAGGAACAGATATAACATAAAGTAGGAAATATGATGAATAAAGTAATTTAAAATATAAATATAAGGTAGTGTGCAAATTTCCAGTATTTTACAGCAAGCAGAAATGTAATGATAAATAGTGATGAATTAAATAGTAATAGCAATCATGAATGGATACAAATATAAATATAATGAATGTAATAATAATAATACTAATTTTACTAATAATTTACTAAAGGGTTGCGTGAGTAAAAACGTGTGCAAACCTGATATCACCCGCAAATTAGCACGTAAGCTGATCTACTAATGGTGTGCACGCAGAATGACGTTTTTTAAAAGTGCAAGATAGCACCTGTTGTTCATTTACTAATTTGGCCTTAATGAATA